TGCTAGGGTATAGGTACTTCTGTTTTCAATTTTTTTGAGGAATCTCATACTGTTTTTGAGAATGGCTGCACCAATCTGCATTCCCACCAACAGTGTAGGAGGGTTTTCCCCCCTCCCCCTTTTTTTTTTCAGATCCTTGTCAACATTTCTTGTGGATTTATTGGTGATAGCCATTTTAACAAGCATGAGGTGATATCTCATTGTGGTTTTAATTTGCATTTCTCTGTGGTTTTAATTGAGCATTTTTTCATATGTCCATTGGCCACCTGTATGACCTCTTTGGAGAAGTGTCCATTTAGTGCCTCCATCGTTTTTTAATTGGATTGTTGGTTTTTGATGTTTAGTTTTATGCGTTCTTTATGAATTTTGGATATTAACCCCTTATAAGATGTATCATTGGCAAAAATGGTCTCCCATTCAGTAGGTAGTCTTCTCATTTTGTTGATTTTCTTTGTTGTGAAAAAACTTTTAGTTTGATGTCATTCCATTTCTTTACTTTTTCTTTTGTTTTCCTTGCCTGAGGAGATATATCAGAAAAAGTATTTCTAAGAGAAGTGTTCGAATTTACTTCCTATATTTTCTTCTAGGAGGTTTATAGTTTTGAGTCTTACATTTAAATCTTTAGTTCATTTTGAGTTAATTTTTGTATATGGTGTAAGAAGGTGGTTTATTTTCACTTTTTTTTGCATGTATCTATCCAATATTCTCAATGCAGTTTATGAAATAGACTATCTATCCTCCATTGTATATTCTTGCCTCCATTGTATATTCTTGCCTCCTTTGTTATATAATAATTGTGCACGTAAGTGTAGGTTTTTTTCTATTTTTTTAAATATGTTTTTAATGATTTTAGAGAGAGAGGAAGGGGAAGGAATAAAGAGATAGAAATAATGATGAGAGAGAAATATCAATCATCTGTCTCTGACATGCCCCGATCGAGTCTGAAAACCCAGACAGGAATTAACCTGGTGATCTCCTTATTCATGGGCGGACCCTCAACCATTGAGCCACACCAGTGGGCTGGGATGTCTATTTGTTCCATTGATCTATGTGTCTGTTTTGATTACTCTAGCCTTATACTATAGTTGAATATCAGGTAGTGTGATGCCTCCAACTTTGTCCTACTTCCTCAAGATTGCTGTGGCTATTCTTGGTTTTGTGTTTCTATAAAATTTTTGCATTATTTGTTCTAGTTCTATGAAAAATGTTATTGGTATTTTTATAGGGATTGAGTTGAATCTGGCAATGCAATGTTCATACTGCTGTTCACATGAGAACATAGGCTAGAGTTCAGAGCTCCCCCTGAGACACAGCAGTAACTAATGGGTTGCTACCTGCAGTCTTGGGACTTCAAAGCACTTCACTAAATATCTTTTTATAGAAAAGCAGTGTTTTACATTACAGTGCTCTTTGCTATCTAAATGAAAAATAGTTCTGTTTAACAAAAAGCAAAAAATGCACATGGAAAAGAATGAAAATACAGATAATCCCTTGATCCATGAAAAAGCCCCTCAGAAGCAAAGAGGCTGTCACATAATAAATAAAAGCAATGGGTATTTAATAGGCCTAGCAATTAGAAGCCATCCAAAAGTAACAGAAAATGCATTGAAAAAGAAAGGGTAACATGATCAAAGAGAGTGATAGGAACCTATTATCATTATAGGAGATTATACTTGACATTTCCCTTTTAAAGGCATTTTAATACATTTCATTTAGCTTGTGTTATATGGTAATATTTTTATCTTTTTAAAGGTATATTTTAAAGGCATTTTAGTACTATTAAAGGCAAGTTAGCACATTTCATTTAGTTTTTGAATGAAGGGAGAAAGGATTGGGGTACATAAACATACTTATTTAGATTGACAATGTTTTGAATGTTTTAGTTCGTTTTATTTTAAGTAACTCTGTTTGCTTATATTCTGAATTTTGAAAACTCAGCTAGTCCAGAAGAAAACAGCCATGGGGTGTGCCTTGTGGCTTCATCCACCTTTCAGTCCACAGGGAATGGCATAGGAGAGGGAGGAGGGCCGTGTCAGTCAAGGTCTGAGGGCATTCCTTTATTCAATTTATTTAGCCTTAAGAAAAATGCATGGTGCCAACAGTGAGACTAGGAAAGAATGCAGTTTATAAGCTTATACATTTTTTAATGAATACTCTCCTTGACACTCTTATAAAAGATTCTATTTTGTGGGGAAGTCTATATTAAAACTTGCTCCGAGTTAGAGTTCAAAGGCAAATGAAGAATAAGCTGATGGCTGTTCTATTTCTAGAAGAGCCCCTGTCTCTCTGTTAACGGTGGTTAGGGCCATAGCCTCATGAGCGACTGCTGACTCTGCAGCCCTTGGCCATCTCACAATCCTATTCCCTACCAAGGTGGGGGACACTGACGCTGAAGGAAGGCCGTCCTCCAGGGTGTGGGATTCACCTGGCGATGCCAGGCACCAGGCCAGCAGGAGTATGACACAAGCCCCTAGGATGGCATTAAGACTCCGAGGCTTTCCTATGCCCCTGCCTCCCTGAAAACATGTTCACAGTTATAGTTTACAAATGTGTTAGCATGAAGATGTATGCAACCTTTGACTCTAAAAGCTTGGATGTTTTAATTTTTCAAGAAATCAAGGTACTTTTATGGGTCTTTAAAAAGATTTTGGGACCTATGCACCACACCGGGTACATTGTGCCTAACGCAGAATCTTCTCAGTGATGAAGACACTGACATTTAAAAAAAAAAAAGTGAGGCAAAGACTGCCACGTTACAAGCCAGCACAATATCAAGTCTTACCCTGTACTGCCCTATACAGTGCCCAGCGCAGTAGGCCATGAGTATTTGTCGTGTTCACAGTTAGATCTTTGAAGGGAAGTGCAGGGAAAGTGCCTGCAGGTGTGTCCTCCACTTCCTGGGAGGATTCCATCACCATCTAATTTTCACTTTACAGGTATGCATATTTTTGCACCATTTTCAGTCTTTCTGGAAAAGTAAGAGGCAATAAAATTCGCGATGGTTTCTCCCCTACTGGGTTAATGAAATAAGTGAAAAGTCGTACCGGGAAAACAGCTGTCCTGGCTGTTCCCCAGTTAGCTTTCTGCCCATAGCGAAGTTAAGCTCATTTGGGGAGGTTTAAAATAAAACAGGTTTTCAGAGCTCCATGTGTGTAGTGATCATAATCTCAAATTTGATATCCCCAGAGGGCATGCTGTCATGTCCATGCTTCCATTGGTCTGCTGTGTCTGAGTGCAGGGGAGCCCTGGCAGCCTGCTGGATATCCGATACCCTTTTGCAATGGTTGTAACATGTGTCTGAGGGGGAGAGCACAACTTAGACACTTAATCATGGACAAAAATAGCAATGGGAAAGAGAATAAGAACATCACATGTAATCCTCTTGTCTCCTGCCAGTTCTGGAAACATACATTCTTTTGGCCACGCTAGGGCTGGCTCTACTTGGTATGGCTCATCATCTCTGCACAGCTAGAGAGCAGAGGGCTGTGGTGGTGGCTGGCACAGACCCCCAGCCAGATCCCTGTCCTGAGCTCTGGTTCTCTCTCCCTCATCTGTTTGTTCAACCCATGACAACTCATTTTCATTCATGGTGCCTCGGTTTACCTTCTGTAGAGTATTCCTAATACCAGTGCCCCATAATAAGGTTGTTGTGGTTATTAAGGAGGTTAGTATATGTGAGAGTGTTTAGCACAAAATCTGTCTATTGGTATTTGCTATGGTTGTAATACTTGCCAAGTTCCTGGGTATCACTTGATGCATATATAATTGTGAGGGAGAAAGGGAAATAAAGTCACGAAGGGTGCCTTTCTTCCTCCTCCATGGCTGCCTGGATTTGGTGTGGTTAGTTGGCTGATCTGCTCTGGGGTTAATAGCTTGATTTCTAGATGGTGCCATCTCTAGTGTGAAGCTTCATGGAAGGAGTGAGCCTGGGAGCAACCAGAAAAGGGGAGAAGCTCACTAGGCTCAAGGAGCTGCTTTATAAGTCTCCGTTTTTAGTGTCATTTTAAAAATTCCAAAACCTCAATGGAAGGTCTTAAGGTCCCAGCCATAGGGAATTTTTTACATTGAAACTCCTTTGGGTGTTTTGGTAACTAAACATGTTGGATGAGGATTTAAGATCTTGAACTGTGTTCTCTCAAGAATGCATATTTTTCCTAGCAAATTCCAGCTTGGTGGTTTGCAGAAGCTAAGGCTTACAGACATGCTTGCATAATCAGAGGAAACTTGCTCTCTTGCATTTTGTTGAATTGTGTAGAATTGAAATAGTGTGCCTAGAGCTAGAAGGAGCTAGAAAGAGATGTGCAGAAAAGAGGATTATCGAACAAATGTGGATTCTAAAATCATGAATTAGCAAGAGGCTATTAATAAATGCCCATTTTCTTTTTGCTACTAGAGCCCAAGAGAGGTGGGGAAGGAAACCAGCAAAACAACACAGTCTTGGAAGTATTTCCCGCTCTCTCATCGTCTATATTTAGCACTTTCTGTCCCTTTTCTATTAACCTATGATCCTGTTGAAACATTAATCACCACGCATTAAAATAAGAGCTCATCATTTTAGAGACTGAGATCATTTTTAGAGTTTTTAAAAAATAAAAGATTTCAAATCCTTTGCAAGCCTTCGTTTTTTATGGCCAGGCCATTTCTTACACCCTGTAATGCAGGCAGTCAAGTTGGTTGTCCTATTTTATTCGGGTATTATGTATTCTTGCATTCACTTCTTAATAAAATTCATTTCTCCATTTTTTCAGGGAAATTTTATTTTTGATGGCATGGTTCTTTTACATGCTTTAAATATCAAATACTGGGATATTTCTATAGAAAACATGGCTATTTAAGAGGAAAATTACATTTTCAAAAGTTCAAACTGTTCTATTTCTGAAATAATTTATAAAACCCAATATATTTGGACACTGATGAATGCTGATAAGATTTTGATAACATAAATCATCGCTTCCATGGTTTTTCTAAAGTGCACCTTGCAATATTTTTCTTCTTGTTAGGAAGTGGAAGACCACGTGGCGTTTTTAATAACAGTTCCCACTGCCCTGGCAATCTTCTTTGCTATATTCATCCTCGCCTGCATCGAGTCCGTGTTTAAGAAGCTGCTCCGCCTCTTCTCTGTGGTCATCTGGATCTGCCTCGTGGCCATGGGCTACCTGTTCATGTGTTTCGGAGGCACCGTCTCTGCCTGGGACCAGGTAAGGTGTTAAAATGGTTTTTGTATTTTCTTCATGTGCTCTGATTGGTGACAGACGTGGTTCTGTCAACTGCAAATAAGAGATCTTTAGAAGAAAGTCTTTTGAAATCATTCTCTTCACGGGAACCTCAATGCCCATTTCAAGTCATCAGACGTGCTGGCAGCCAGCGCACGGGCCTGGGTCTCACTTGTCGCTGGTTGTAGATGGACAAGCCTGGGTTACACCTCACATCATCTTCTCCTGCATCCCGGGGTCTCCTGTTTCTCCAGGATCCATCTGGGGTGGAAGCCTTTCCTTGTGCCTCTAATACTCGAACACTAGTAGTTGCCCTTAAACTCTTTCTCAATCACTGGACCTTTGTTCTTACAAACAGACTTCTGTGATACTGATTTCATATCAACATGAGCACATCATGTCAGTAAGGCTGCTTCCTTACCTGTTGGGAAACTCACAGTTCTTCGTGTTGAACCTGGTGAGGCTCTTAGCTTAGAAAATGGCTCCCCTGGAGAATGTTAGGACTTTAGGAGAGTGGATTCTGACTAATGGGCTGCTACCTGGGGGAATCCTGCTGACTACTAAATTAGATGGTGTATGGTCCAGAGCACAGACAAGTCCGGGCTGCAGATATGGATGCACAAGTTATTAGCTTCAAGCTCATATTGGAAGCCATGGTGTTCTGTAGCCACCCTCGAGAGAGTGAATTGAGCACCAAGAGGGGGTCATCAAAGACTTGATGGGGACACAAGAGCTGGGTTAGGAGAGGAATAGGAGCCAGGAGTGGATAGAAGAGCCATTTGTGGGAGGAGAGAACCAGGAAGGGAGATTTGCTGTAGAGACTAAAAGAAAAGGGAGATTCAAGATGGGAACAGGCTAAAGGGTTCAAGTCCCAGGGTGAGGGAAGGAGCATCACAGGTGTGCTTTAGTTGGAGAGAGCTCAGGATGAGGTTTCCTGTGGGTTCTATTATCCCATGATTTCAGCTAAACCACCATCATGTTTGAGCCTCGGTTTCTTCTGCAAAGGGTGAGGACTGGAGTAAGTGAATTTAGGTTGATCTCTCTGGTTCTAAAGAACAGTCATAGTGGACACAAGAATCTGTGCTTGCATCTTTCCTCTCCTGCAGTTCCCTGAAGAGGTTTTAGGGGTCAGTCTTATTATCACTCTCACCTTTGGAGGGATGGGCACCCACTTCCATGCCTAGGCCAGTGCCTTCCCTGCCTCAGGGTTGCCTCTCTTCTTCATGTACCCTGTTCCCTGGCCTCACCCTGCTGCCTTAAGTGGTGCACATGGTCCACGGTCCCTCCCACCTTCACATTGGTGCACGCAGAACAGAAGAAGGAGATGGATTAAGAGCCTTAGTTTGCTGGCCTGTGGCATGGACCTGCTGGTCTCTCCTCAAACCAATGCTACTTTGGTTTAAGGCTCTTACTTTATAAGAAGTTTCACTTTCTGGAAAAGCAAGCAGCCCCTCCATGTTCTTTTGTTTTCCGGTTCTTTAGACTTTTCTTAGCTTACTTTCCATATCAATTTCAGAATCAGCTTGTCATGTTCAGTGCAAGCTCCACCTAGGATCTGGATTTAAATTATATGACATTTCCTATTTTTTTTATTTGAAAGATATTTAACAACTAGGAAATAATAAAAGGACACTATGAAAAACACCCAGAGATATGCTCTTTTTAATTTGGTATCTAGTCCTTCCATAGAAAGACATGGCATGTCTCTCCAATGTCTCTCTAGGTTTCTTTTATGTCCTTCTGAAATCTTTTCTCTTCATGAAATCAGTAGCAATGCTCCTCAAACTTGTTCTTAGGTACCTGTATTTTTTTGTGGTTTTATTAAAGGCATTTTTTTCTTATTCCTTTTTCTATTTAATATCTTTGCATAAGAGTGCTGCTGCTTTTTACGTTGATCTGTTGAGGTGGACTCTTATTAGCTCTGTTCATTTGTCTGAGGGCCTCAGTTTACTTATATATACAGTTCCATCATCTCCAGATAATTAACATTTTCCCCCTTTCAAATCCTGAATTCACTTTATTTGCAGGCATTGTGTTGTCTACATGTGCTAGTATTAGCCAGGATTCCTGATACAGAAGGGATTAGCATAGTGCGAGTGGCATCAGACCTGTTGTCAGCATAATTAGGACATCCATAATTTCACGGGAAATAAAATGGTTGCCCTATGATTAGTATTTTAATAGAATCCATTGGTCAGAATAAGGACCTCCATCTGTCTGGCAGGCTCTTCTTCCCCATGCAGTGCAGCTCCTGTGTTATCTTCATTGACCTCATGGGTCCCTGTCACTGAGCAGCATTTCCCAGCCTTCAGATGCCACCCGATCCGGCAACACCTCACCCTACTCCAGTTTCCCATAGCACTGACAATGGTTTATTCTCTTTTGTTGTCTTTTGACTGTATCCCCTGCAAGAAAATAAACTTCTGGGCAGTGACTGTCTTTTCACTGCCCTGTCTTTGCCCCTATGAGAGTGGACTGCGATAGAAGGCACTCACCCAGTGTCTCCCTAATAGGTGACTTTATTTTGTCATCTCCATATTTGTTGTTGTTGAATTTCTTTAGTATCCACTTCTCCTGTTTTTGCCCATCTTTTGGTTTTATGACATACATTTTGCTTATATCAATGCTTTAAAAAAATGCCTGTAAGCATATTAAACATACCTTTTCCATAGTTATTTTACTTTCATTTTCTTAAGATGGATTTCTCGCAGGATTTGAGTTTGTTGGCTAAATGTATCAGCGTTAATTGCCCCTGTGAGCTTTGGCATTGCTACTTCTAGGCTCCTGTTGAGTGGGATTTTCTTCCTCTGCCCACAGCCGTAATCCTACCCATGATGTTCCCTTCCGTACACAGCCAGGGCCGTAGGCAAAACTAGACTATATGTGGAGTCTCAGCGCAGATGGCATTGCAGGTGGGGTGACTAGGCCTGCTTGTGGCTTGGGCCAGCTGTGTCTGCTTGATGCTCAGAAAAGGCTATAGCCAGGTTGCAGCTACTTTTGGCCACTTCTCCCATGTTGGGGACTTGGGCAGGATGTCTGCTTCACACTGTGGACCTGATCACACATTTGTCCAGAACTGAGGGCCACTTTTGCCCCATTCCTCCACCGGAACTTCAAATCCTGCCCAAGCCTCGGGCCACAGCTACCCCATTTAGCTGGCATGCTGATTTAAAAAGAAATTATATGCTCACATTAGCCTAAAGCCTGGCATCTTTTAATTTTGGCACCACAGATGTACGCCTCTCAGTGAACACTTCCAGAAGTGTTATAATAGGTTCTCTGTGCTTAAGGGATTGTGCTCAAAGGGTGGTTCCCCATAGGAGATGGTTAAACTAACACTATTGTGATAAGGAAATGCAGGAGTGAGTCCACTGCTCAGACAGAGGGACCATCCTCACTGGACCGCCCTCACTGCTGACTCCAATGGCAAGTTTGGGGTTCTCAGGACCACCCTGAGGTTAGGTAACTTCGTAAAAGGACTCACAGAACTCACTGAACACCATTATCCTCCCAATTATGGTTTATTACAAGGAAAAAAATAGAGGTGAACAGCAGCCAAGGGAAAGGGCAGAGAAACTAGCAAGTGTGGAGCTTTCTTTGTCTTCTCTGTGCAGTCACACAGAGCGCTGCTCTCTCCACAACGTTACATGTCACTATGCAGGGAGTACTGCCTACCCAGGAGGCTCAGCTGCCCTTCTCTGGGGATTTTTCCAGGGCTCAATCACATACTGCCTGCATGGCTGACCTTTAGTCTCCGGCCTCACAGAGGCTGGCCTGACACCTGCAGTTTCCAGCCCTGTGGAGGCAGAACAGATACTGCATGGCCCTAGGATCCCCTCATAAATCATATTTAGACTGTCTCGGACCAAACAAAGGCACTCCTGTCAGGCAGAGCATTCCAGGGGCCTAGGGATGATGTCCCAGGAGCACAGGGCAAGCCCAGACCTCTGTCTGGGTCAGGCTCATTGTTTGCTGCCCAGGTGGCTTCAGTATAGACCCCAGCCATTAACATCTCTAGTGCAGAGCATAGAGTACAAGCAACCGGCACGTGCATCATCTGTTCCATGCCCAGCCCTGTCCCGAGCATTTTTCATGGAATCTCATTTATCCTCACATAATGCCAAGAGGTGGGTCCCATCACACTCATCTGAGTGACACTGAATAAGTCTCTCCTGCCTGGCACATTTTTGTAATGTCCTTCATTCATCTGGTGAAGCCGAAGATTTTTGATATCATTTTATTTAATGGATTTATAACAAGACAAATCCATTTTACAAGTCCTTAGTTACTACTTGTGACTCTCGCTCTGAGATGGGAATGCCGTTCAGAAGGGAGCAGGACAGGAGGGCAAGTGCCTGGATGGGGTGAGGCTTACACACAAGAGATGCTGGGTTGACTGAGCGAGGGCAAGAGGGCTGAATCGTATCTGCATTTGACTCCAATCTTCTGCTTCCCTCACCCTAAGAGCTTATTGAATGGAGTTAAATAAACACTTCTATTCCTGGCAACCCCATTTCGGGCGTGGCGGGGAGACCAGGCTGAAGTTATTGTACAGATTTGTTAAATCACCTACTCGAAAGGCTAACATTTTGCTCCAGGAAGAAGAGACTTTCTTTGTTCTGTTTCCTAACTAGATGCCAGGCAATCAGCATGTGCCTATCATGTGTTCTTACAAAAACAGGACGTAAGTGTGCAAATATCATTTTCATATTGAAAGTGGGTGAAATGTAAGAAAATAAAGAGCTCTCAGAGGCTTTGAAACGGTACAGGAATAGTTTGCTTTTCCTTTAGTGCAGTCACCTGGAATGCTATTAAAGAATGGATTTACCATGCAGAGAACCTAGTAGCATATAAATGAAAGGAGGCAAATCCAGCCGTCCCTGAGTATCCAAGAAACCATTGTTGTCTGCTTCTGTGCACTAGGGTGACTTCTCAGAGGGTATTTTAGAGTTAATATGAAGAGGCCCACACAATTCAGGAAAATA